ACTTTTTAAACACAAAATACGCCCTGAGTCCAGATGTGTTAACAATTTCATTTTAAACCCATTTTTTGTTTTCCGAGTGAGTTTGGCAGGTGTATATGAAGGGATTGCAGCTACTAAAGAAGACTCTGAACTAAAAAAAATATGTATCTGTTAAGTATACTATATGTCCTACTTGAAATCAGACTTGTGCTTCAATGGGCCCTGAAGGCCACAACTTTTATGGTTGATAGATAAGGCTCACTCAGTATTCAGTTTGAATAACATTAATAGTGAGCTTGCTGCACCCAGTTGCTAAGCTAGTTGTATAGGTTCATGGACTACCTGCCTGTCCTGTCCCATTATATATGTGTGTGTGTGTGTGTGTGAGAGAGAGAGAGAGAGAGAGAGAAGAAATATTTATATATATTAAGAAAAACACAAGACAGCTGGCCACAAATAGCAGGAAAGGGTGGAATGATCTTTAGGTTTCTGGTTCTGTGAGCTTTCTTTTACCAGTCTCAGGACAAACAGTCATATCAGTTACAAAGGCACTGTAGTCCTCTGTGTCCATTCAGGTCAGGAAAGGGCTTTACTACTTATATAAAATGTTTAGTAAATAGTTATGTGATTATTTAAAAATAAGTGTTAATTTTAAAAAAAAGAATAAAGAGACATTTAATTATAATTTTGTAAAAATATTCTGTGGTTTACTTCAGTGGCTCAAAATAAGTGTTCATGGTTTGAAAGAATTCCATGTCACTGGCCTACAAAAGATAGAGTATCACTATTTGAATGAGCAAAATATCAGCACTTGTGCACACACTAATTAACTGTGTGTTAATTGGATAAATGCATGTGTTGGTTGACTGGTGAGACACCGAAGTAGCCATGTGCATGTGCATTTAGCCGTTTTATATACACAGCTACCTATCTTTGCACACAAAAAGGGGTGCACAATAGCTCTGCACATTTTTCATACATGATCCTCATGAGAAAATTTGGTTCTAAATGATCACATGAATACCCAGAAGTTAACACCCCGTTAAGACAAATAGCCTGAGTTGACACTTCTGTCAATGGGCTGGTTTAAATCTGATGGCAAACCAGGACAGTGATTTACATATGGACCAAAAGACATAGTTTGTAACTTTCTTTTTAATGGAAGTTTAAGTTTTTGAAGAACATAGGAAAATCTGAAAGGTGAAATTCACAGATTTTTCATGCCTGCAGGTTTTTATTGCCCTGGGTAATACATGTCCTTACTCCTTACATCACATATATGTGAAAAATAATAGACATAATATTTAAAGATGTCTTTTGATAAAGAAAATCTTTCCATCTCTAAAGGTGAGATTTAGCTCTAAAGTACGATGAGCAAGTTCCAGATGTATTTTTCAATTACTGGGCTTTCCTTTCCTTAAGTATTGACAGAGGGAAGGTTTTATCAAGGTCTTTGTGATGTGCTTGTTTATAATGAGTAGACATTAGTAGAGCACATCTAAGTGCTTATTGCTAACAGATGACTAAGAAGAGCATATGGCAGGGAAAAGAAATATATATTTGTCCAAGCATACTCATCATCAATTGTGTTTACATGTAGTTACAACATCTTGCACATCCATTTTTGTATTGGAGAAAAAAAAACAAAAGCGAAGCAATGATTTTTTTAAATATGTGAGTGTCAGGTAGAGTTAATTTAGAATACTTTTTAACAAGAGAATTACATTTTTCAGTGCAGAAGATTTTAATAGGTTTTTTTTTTTACTGCTTCATCTTGACGCCTTTACAACATTATACTTCTTATACTCGTTATACATTAACAGTCCTACTGTTATGAAATGTTTTTTGGTTCACACACCTGTGCCTTTAAGTAGAAGTTTAATAGGACTGGATGTCACTATGAGCAATAATAGAGGTGGGATGAATTTATGCACTAACCTGTGTTTAAGGTCAAATGCAGATCAGGTCACAAGCGAGGCTCTGTTTGGCAGGCTTATAGGCCCCTCAGATCAGAATCACCAAACAGTTTGCAGCATCTTCTAACGGTCTCTGATCAAAACAGATTCTGGACTAGAGACCTGATCCAATTACCACTGACGTTAATGGGAGTCTTACCATTAACTTCAGTGCACTCCATTAACTTGGGAGGTGCACCGACAGAGTTTTGGGGGAAGCTGCACAGTGGTTAATGTAAATAAGTTTTGTTAGGCTAGGTTTACACTGCAATCAGAAATGTGATTTGCAGCATGGGTCAGCATACCTGCATGGCTAAGATAGCAGTAAAGATGCAGCAGTACGGGTTGCACAAGCCTGTCTGGGGACGTACAAAACAGTTTATATTTCCACTTAATGTTCATTAAAGTTATAGTACTTTGTATAGGACGTTATGATCTGCTGCTATGGGATTGATCGGACATGAGGGAGGTAATTAACCCAAAAAATTCTACCAGTTCTAATGCTAGTTCCGTTGAATCAGTGTTAAAAATGGTGACAGGCACAATATAGATAAGGCCCTGACAGCTAAAACTAGTATTACGGCCAATTAGATTTGTACAGAATGGGTTTGACTAAAGTGGAGATAGAAGATGTTTCAGCCATGAGAACTTTGCTTGAACTGGAGTTCCCACCTCTTTTAATACTGATTCAATTGATTCTATGAACACGTGTCAGAACTGACAGGAATTTGTTGCAGATTTTCCCAGCGCAACAGCCAAAATTCAAAAGCAGACCTGACCTCCCCCAAAATTTGAAGCTGTTTCTTATACTCATACTGAGGACATGGTTCAATCCATGAGTTAGAGACCAGTTGCATGGCTTGAATCCAATTACAAACTTTCCCAGAGTTCAGCAGTGCTTGAGTATAGCGGAGTTAGCTTTGGGCACGCCCTAGTGATGGTGATACAAACTCAGAGCTGCAGTTTCACTGAAAGATCAAGGAAAAACTGGATACCAATTTAATAAGCACTTGTTCAAAAACAAATCTTTTTGACATTTAGCAATGAATGACATGGAGTATTCCAAAAATAGGTGTGGGAAATAAAAAATGAATCTTAAGTAAGATGTATCTCAAAGTTCCCCCCAAGTGCTAATGCCAACTTCAAACATTTTAGCATAGGCATTTCTAAAAAAAAAAATGCACTTAGCCTAGTACATTGAGCATAGGATTATTTTTTACGTTGTTTCTGGTTTCATTAAAAAGCAACATTTTTTCCAAGCATTTACAGATTTGTGTTTCTGCAGTAAGCTGAAGTTGCATGATAAAGTGAGAGAGATAATGGTAAATAAGCATATGTGTAAGCCTAGCTAGAAGGAGCAAAGTATGCTATTTGTATCCCTCTTGTGAAGTAAATCCTGTTTCTTTTAGCTATTTCTTCATTATTTAATAAGGTCTTGCAAAAACTGTATGTTTGAAATGGTATTTTTGCATCCCTGCTTCTAGGAATGTCTTCAAATATTCACCAAATAGTTTGCCCCCTGAAGGTGCATTAAGTATGAATTTAGGTAATAATTACCTCAGATGTGGATGATCATAAATCTACAACTGAAACGGACAAAACCACAAGATAATCATCCTCCCCATTCGGAACTACCTCACTGACTGTGGTCACAAATGTAAAATATTGGATAAAAGAGAGATTTTTAAAGATTGTGAATAAAAAAAAATTCAAGCTTTAATTCATTGGTCTATTAGCTTTAATGAGATTTAATTTTGGGTGCACTACATGGTTTAAGAGATTGCCAGTGGAACACAGAGTCTTTTACCACTCACTCACCACTAACAATAGCTCTCCTATCAGTAGTGACCAAACGCTGCAGACTGTTATCTTATCTTTGTGAAATGAGTTTCAGTTCCCAGTGGATATGTATCCACACCATCACAGTTGGCACATGTTGGCATCTTTGTTGGCACTCTCAGTAGAGATGCTGAGGGCTGAATGCACCATGGAGTCTGAACTCTCTGTCCTCGAGGCCTTCTTTCCAGGCTGATATTGAGATGCTGTCAGGGTAAAAGGTGTGGACAGTTTGCACTGCCACTGCCCATGATGTCCCTGTTGTGCGAATATAGGCCTGCAGTCTCCCAAGCTGCCAATCTGATACCTGTCACAAGTACTATTCATTTTAATTTTTTTTCAAAGCACATCATTTTATTTGTCCACAGTAAGGCTTCTAAGGCAGTTGAGTCAGAAATTATAGGTCAGTCCTTTCCCATAGTTTCATAATCATTCAGCTTCAGCAAGCAGCACTGAGTTGCAATCTCAAATGGAGCAGCTGGATCTCCTGGGTATATTTTGCTTAGTGTTCATCGTGTAAATAGGGGAAAGAAAACCTCTGCCTCTCATTCAGCTCCAAAAGTTCTCAGCACATGCACAGTGCATTAAGCTAAATCACTGCTTGACTAGTAACTCTGTAGCTGTAAAATGCTTGGTGTCTGCGCAGAGAACCCATTCAAGGCGCCTCTGTTGAACCCATTCATCACTTGCATGCTCATGCTTCTTGTATTGCCAACCACAAAGAAGTAATTCAAGGATGTAAGTAGTGTCTCTAAGATGTAGATGACTGGCAATTCAATTAAATGGGTCCTGGAAAAGTTTCAAAACTGCTGCTCCTTTTGTCTCACATTTTAATCTCCAAATGTTTTAAAATTAGTCTTCCCTTCCTACCCTCATTACTTCAGTTTTATATCTCTTACTTCATTCCCTTGATTTTCTAATTTGTCCTTTCTTTCTTTCTTTCTTTCTTTCTTTGAAAAAAAAATCAATAACACAGAAGTTCTGAGTTTTAGATTTGATAAATTGAAACATTTGGCTATTATGTACTTTTCTTCTTTCTTGCCATGAGGACATTTAGGACATGTTGACAGCCAATATTAATAAGCTTAACACTGATCCTGGCAGTTACTAAATATAATTTTTGATGGAGTTAAGTGCTCTTTAGAATAACAATGTTGTCCTTTAAAAAAGATGATGTCACATTTGCATCATGAATTGACTGGGGTTTCTTTTATTCTTTTTATTTTGCAGGTGATCCATATAACAGGCCGGTTACGACTGAGAGTGTCACTGTCCCACGGGCGGACAGTCCCTAGCCAAATCATGGGGCTTGTAGTTGTGGCTCATGCTTTGCCACCTCCTACAATCAATGAAGTCAGAATCGACTGCCACATGTTTGTTACTCGCGTAAATATGGACCTCAATATCATTTACTGTGAAAATAGGTACAGCATTTCAGCTCTCGTTTTTCAGTGTTGCATGTGTACTCTGTATTCCATGGCTTGGTAAACAGTGGAGATCAGACTCCTGGTGCCATATGAGAGCACTAAATTCACTGTCGTCGTTATTAATTATTAAAATCGGAGGAGTGTGAAGGAGATTTTTTAACATTAACATGACAAGGTTCATGATGTCTTTATATTTGGAAATGAAAAAAAAAGGAAACGTACTATTTGAAGTTTAATTCCCCTACATTCCTGAAATACTTTGCAGAAGATGCAGTCTCATTTGAAATTCTATCTCTGCTTATTGGAATGGAGGACTTGGTTGCTAGGAGGGGTCAGATGGAGCAGGTGACAGGTTGGGGGACAATGTCATTGGAAGCAGGAGATGGGGGGATTGTACAATGAGATTAGATGGTGACTTGCATTGCAAAGGGAGAAAGGAGTGGAGTGGAAACCGGTTTTGGGTGACAGGTTGAATGAGGGTTTGATGGGGTGGAGACAGATACTTTAGAGAAGTGGAGGAAGGAGCATTGGGGTTCAAAGTGGATCAGGTGCAGTGGGCACCTGGAAATAGGGTCCAGAATAAGGGGAAGAATGGACAGAAGAGCTGAGGAGAAGTTGGCTAGAAGGCAGGGAATAAGAAACTCATAGGCTGGGGATGGAAGGAGCCTAAAGTGTAGAAGAAAAGTTGGGAACAAGCAGAAGAGCTAGCCAAGGACCCATTGACAGGAGGAGCTACCATCAAGAATTTAATTGCCAACAGGATTAATGCAACCCTTTGATGTGATAGCATAATTAGAAGGTTACAATTCTCTAACATAGACTTGAATTCAGGAATTATCTCTATTCTGGACAGCATTTAAGCACATAATTAAGTGCTCTTCTGAAAAGGGATAGACATAAGCATGTGCTTAAGTGCTTTGCTGAATCAGAGCCTTAGGCCTTTTAAAATAAATGTGCAGTTTCAGTTAAGAAATTATCTTATACTATCATGTTCTAAACTATATTTGTAATAATAATAGTACTTTGCAACTAGAAAGCATATTTTATCCAGGCTCTCAAAGCACTTTACAAGAATGGGAGATATTATCTTAATTTTTTAAACTGGGAACACTGAGCCACAGAAAGCAATTTGCTCAAGGTTACGTAGAGAGTTAATGGTAAAATTAGGGTTAGAATGCTGGCTTCCTGCCTGCAAGTACACTGCACTAACTTCTAGATTATGTAGTGTAATCTAGCAGTTAGCACAGATAGTTTAGGGGATTAGGAGTAGTATACAGATGGAACCTTTTGCCATAGTCATTGGCTTGAATCTGACCTATCTTGATAGTGATGGAAAGTCATTACCATTTGACAGCTCTCCAGTGGCCTCTGTGAAATGAGTTGTTGGTATCAGTCCAGTTCCTAATGAATAGGTCTCCTCTTCACAAAATCACCCCCCAGTTATTGGTACCTTTGTTGGCAGCCTCAACAAAGGAGCCAAGAATTGAATGGATGTGGAAAATGAACTACCCTTTCAGGTCAGGTCTGAGATGAATTGGCTGGGCAGTATTTGGAAGATTTAATCTTCCTCTGCTGTCAATCTAGCATTTTGTATGAGTACTAAATTGTTTTTAAAAAATTAAACAATTTTTTAAAAAACTTTCCAGTATCGCTGTATCATCATATAGCAGTAAGGCCTTAAGATTCCTGTGAGAGGAACCTGTGAAAAACCTAAGATAGATAACAAATAGTCCAGGCACTGAGCACTGATTGAGGATTGGTGACCACCTGGGAAAAGCTGATAGCTAAAGGTGTAGTGGAGCCATTAGACTTAGCTGGTCATTATTCCCCAGGAAGTGCCTTGTGCTGAGGATGTTATTGCTATTATAAGGTGAACAGAGAGAGAACTTTATCAAGTAACTTTTTTTCTATTTGCTGATGGTGTTTATTTTGAATGCTAGGACATAGCATTTATGCGGTGTCACTGAAATTAATGATGAGGCATCTGCGCTTTGTGCCTCTTCACGGGACAGCAAAGAACGAGGTCCACTAGGTTAGCAGAAGCGTCACTGATGGAACTGTGGGAAAAATGTTGGTAGCTTACTTGCACAGCAGAAGTTCCACTGGTGGACAGTAGGGATAGTGGTACCACAGCAAATGCCATATGGAAAGTGGATGTTGCCTGCAGGGACAGCAGGAAGTGGAAACACCATTGCTAGACATTGGGAAGCCAGTAGCAACCTGTCTAGTCAGGAGGCTAGCCATTCATTGAGGCAACCCGCTGAGGCATCAGGAAGCAGGAAGTCCTCTTCTGGGGTTAAAGAAAGGGGCAGTGACAGCACCACCAGTGGGGCTACAGAAAACAGAAGCACTCATTCCTGAATATGTGGAGTAGGCTGCTAGTGCCCCACTGGTGGTGTCATAGGGGAAGCAGGAGCAGCACAGCTGTGGCTGTAGAAAAAAATTGGCAGCATGCTTGGGGGTAGCAATAAGCACTATTTGAATAGCTTCATGGAGGTTAGTGACAGCTGGCTGGGGAGTGTGAAGTGGAAGTGCCATTACTTAAGCTGAATTGGATGGTCACAGTAGATCACTGGATCAGAAGAGGTGAGAAGCACTACTCCTGCTTTTGCAGGGATTCTTTTGTGAGCCTGCTTTGAGAAGCAGGAAGCAGGCGTGACTTTACTCAAGTCTTGGTCTGTGGCCTATTCCTCTCTTCTTAGTGAAAAGATTTGAATGAAGATCCCTGATCCACAGCAGAACCAGGTGCATAGTTATTTCCCCCCCCATTATGAAACAAGATCAATTAACTAATATATTGGGCATTTTTAAAGCATTTACATTTTATTCTGTAGCTAGTTAGCCAGCTTTGCAACAGGGTTTCATTTATTTTTAGGATTACTTTTAAATCTTCACAACTACATAACCAAAAAATAGGGAGACCTATTTTAAAACTTTGGTGTCTAAGATGAGATACCTAAATCTACAGTTAGGCACCAAATAAGTGGGCACGATTTTCAGAGGTGCTGAGCATCCACTTCTCCTCTTGACTTAAATGTTCTTGTTCCTATTCTAAAAGTGTGTTGACATGCAGGTGACATTACCTCTTTTATAGAGTTTATGCCCCAAAAGAATATTTGCCATACACACAAGACTAAGCCAAACTCATACTGTACATGGGTATGTTTGGGTGGTGGTTAGGGTGGAGGTGTCTCACTTCTGGGTCCTGTAAAAGCCATACTCAAAAGGTCTTGCAAAAGTAATATGATGGGGAATTAATTTGCAGGTTGTCAAGTATCAGAGGGGTAGCCATGTTAGTCTGGATCTGTAAAAAGCAACAAAGAGTCCTGTGGCATCTTATAGACTAACAGACGTATTGGAGCATAAGTTTTCGTGGTTGAATGCGTCTGACGAAGTGGGTATTCACCCACGAAAGCTTATGCTCCAATACATCTGTTAGTCTATAAGGTGCCACAGGACTCTTTGTTGCAATTTGCAGGTTATTTCCCTATTTAGATTTGCATTATTTATTGGTGAAATAAGAATATAAACCTATGAAAATTCAGAAGCTTTGGTCAAAATTTTCAAACTTGGATGACATCTAAATCTATATTTAGGCACCTAAATAAAAGTGGCCTAATTCTTAGGTACTGAGCTGACATCCAGCTGCTATTTACTTCAGTATGAGTTGTGGATGCCTGTATGAAAATCAGATCACTTTTATTTAGGTGCCTAAATATAGATTTAGATGTCTAATCTAGGCAACCAAGTAGAACATCATGGTCATTGCTTTTACCTTCTTAAGGGTCAAATGCTGGGGAAAAAATCAAAGCTTGTGTAAAGAGTTTACTTCTGGAGAGCAAACATCAAGGGCTGAATCTTCATCCGATGCCTGCACAACCACAGCTACTAACACAATGGTCACAGTGAGAAGTAGCATAAGACCATAAGAACGGCCAAACTGGTTCAGACCAAAGGTCCATCAAGCCCAGAATCCTGTCCTCTGACAGTGGCCAATGGCAGGTGCCCCAAAAGGAATGAACAGATAGGTTATCATCAAGTGATCCATGGCCTGTCACCCAATCACAGCTTCTGGCAAACAGAGGCTAGGGACACCATTCCTGCCCATCCTGGATAATAGCCATTGATGGACCTACCTCTTCCATGTATCTATCTAGCTCCCTTTTGAACCCCATTACAGTATTGGCCTTCAAAACACCCTCTGGCAAGGAGTTCCAGAGGTTGACAGTGCATTGCATGAAAAAATACTTTCTTGTGTTTGTTTTAAACTTGCTACCTATTAATTTCATTTGGTGGTATCTTGTTCTTGTATTATGAGAAGGAGTAAATAACACTTCCTTATTTACTTTCTCTATACCACTCTTATAGACCTCTATCATATCCCCCCTTAGTCGCCTCTTTTCCAAGCTGAAAAGTCCCAGAGCACGCACATGGCATGATACTCCCCTAGTGTGGGGTTTTGTCTCTATGGATCTGCGTGTTTCACCGATCTACCAACATTCCCTAAGGATCTGCAGAAATAGTTTCCTGTATGGAGCATCCTTTACTAGGACTCAAGCCTACTTAATAATGAGCATTCTGGCTCTAAGCCAGCAAAGCACTTAAGCATTGAATGCTGTGGGACTCTCCTTGAGCTTAAAGTTAAGCATAAACTTACAGGGTTTATGGGATCAGGGCAAGTGTACTCAGCACTTGGTAGAATCAAGTCCCTACTTCTCAATCAGCTGCTATTTTTAGCTGTCAAGAAACAAACTGCCCATAGGGGTTGGAGTGTCGTGGGATTTGGCCCTAAATTAATAAATTAAGCAGCATAATATAAAGTTATTTTTCAGTGGTTTAGTAATGCAACAATATTTATATCCCAGCTTTGATTTGTGTATGATTTCCATAACAAAATCATTCTCATTCATGTAATCACAAAATTGATTTACTTTGATGTCCTATCTCTTAGTTCTCATTTTGGTGGCCTTTTTGGACACACAACGTCACTCTTATCTTGTGAATTGATTTTTTTCTTTTTAGTTAAAAATACAAACCCTCTTTCCTTCTTACATCTGGACTAATTAGCTTTTTTTTCTCGTGTTATTGTTGAACTCATGGGTTGTGGATCAGGTTCCACAGTTCACTTGCTTTATTTGACTTATTGTACAGTACTTATAATACAATATTTTCTGACACTCAGACCATTGGAAAGGTCAAGGCCAAGGAAGAAACAAGTGCACAGAGTGACTAGGGAGTTATTAAAAGACTTACTTGGACTTTTCAGTATTAATATACTGATACATACAAAAACACCTTAGTTAAAAAAAAGTTACTAAGGTTGCAATAGTTAAGCACTCAGCTTAGAAAATGCCATGCAACCTTAATTCTTCCCCCTTGCACAGATGCAGTATGATGCAGTCTTTAATTACATAGTCATATACTATTTTTTCTGCATTTATTGTACAGGATGGATGGTACTCCATGAATGAAGCAGCTTTTTTATTCTCCTTATTCAATATGTTGATCCATGTCTTATTTACTGCACACTATCTAAACCCTGTGTTGAATACTGAATTATTAATTTCTTCACAGTCTTTTCTATGGTGCTTATCCCCATTGTATCCAAGTGTCTCTCAAACATCAGTTAATTTATTTTCACAACTCCTTATGAGATAGGAGAATGTTATTATGGGGAAAGTGAGGCAAAGAGAGAATAAGAACAAAACGACTGCTAACTTGGGGTGCTACAATGACTGTTCACCCAACTTGAGACATTTTGGGCCTGTTTTTTTGTAGGTGTTGAGTATCCACAGCTCCCATTGACTTCAGTTGCAGTTGTGAGCGTTCTGCTTTTTTGAAAATCAGGCCCCAGATGTCTCATGTTAGTCTCCCAGAAAATGAGGAACACAAAATTTGTGGCCAGTTGTGAAATTTTTAGGTTTAGTTCACTTGCCAAGCATCAGATTGGAACTCTGTGGTCAGGGATAGAATCCAGTTCTCTAGAGTGGCATTCAACTGCCTTAACCACTAAACCCAGCTCTTCTCTTCTTGCAGTCCCCTATTTCAGTCTCTATACACCATCCAACTTCTGTAGTGCAAACTGAATGTTTGAATTTTTTAGCACAAAGGGTCTACCAAGCTCTAGTAAACATAATGCAAATGGTGATTTTCTACATCTTATTATTGAGCTAAAACTGAACATATTTTCATGGAGACAGCAAGTGCAAAACATGGAGGCATTAGAGTTCTTCAGAAAGTATTTAGAATTTTTTTTTAATAATGGGAATAGATAGGCAACCTAAATATAGATTTTGGTCAGCTCCTATTCCCTAGAATTGTATATTGTGGTAAATGGATCTCTTGTTGCTGTTAGAAGTATATTTACAAGCCTAACTAACCTATTGTAGCAGAAATTGCTGAACTGTTTTATCCAGTTACTGAACTACTAGTCAGCAGGGAAGTCTCCACTCTTGATCACAGTTATGCCATTCAAAGACACTGTGACAATTCTAGGGGAAATGACACATGTGCCACAACCTTATTATAGACATAACTAGGTTCAAAATCAGTACAAAGGCAAGTGGTCCCTATTGCAAGGAAGAGCTGTGGATGCTTTCCTGACCAAAAACCCTACCTTCTTTGATCCAAATTAAATACAGACCAGAGCTCAAATCCATCCTCCATTAACATTTATGGAAAGACTCCCATTGATTTCAGTGGATCTGGATCAGGATTCAAGTGACCCCATTGTCTCTTGCATAGTTGCAAGAGTAAAACTGCCTTTGGCTTCCCAGGCCTTGTCATGTGATTCAGACCATACGGTCCCAATTCAGCACATTTTTTAAGCCTGTACTTAAATCCATTCCTGTTCAGCAAACCACTTAGGCACATGCTTATGGGCCTAAAGTACATTCCTAACATTAGACACATGATAAAATGCTCCCCTGAACAGCAATGGATTGCTGAATCTGGTCCTAAGTCAATACATGCTCTGCTTCCGGGTAGGACTGGCACCAAGCATCTTGTGCCACTGGGCTATTCTATGTACTGACTAGATTGGGAGACATTCACCATCTCCCTGAAACTGAATCTTTGTAATTTACTTTCTCTTGATAGAGACAGAAGAAAATACAACTGATGTGGAAAGCAAGTCATAGCTACATACAGTACAATTGCACCCATCACACTGAACTGTGCTTTAGTTTAAATGAGGAAAAAGCTTGCAGGCGATAGGGGCAGGAATGGCAGAATGTTCCCAGTCTTTCAGTTCCTAGGTGTATAAAGGGGCAGCCAGCAAATTTGTGGGCTGTTGGGGATGACCAATCAGAATGCCTGCTATAATACAATGGGCCAGGGCATTCCAGCTAGAGGGGAGTTTGTGCAGCCCTCCTGGGTGAGCCCCCCACCCCCTCCACCCCCAGCAAGCATGCTGCAGTCACCCACTGTGTGGGGAGAGGGTAGTGGGAACAGATTGTCAAGGGACTATCCCTCTGGTAAAACAGATTGTTCTGGATAGTGAGAAATTAATGGGTAATTTACTAACTTGCTGACATATTTTTATTACACCCCAGCTCTTACAGTCTCTGGCTTTACTGCAAGGATTCACCGGACTTTAAAATTAGTACTGTCATTGGTAATCTCAGTCATATAATTTGGAGATGAGTCCATTCACATTTTGAGGGATCTGTATAGTAAACATTACTATTACTAAGCCTATATATCAGCCCCCCTACAACTCCTTGCCTTCTAAACCTAAAAGCTAGATGTTCTAGTTATACAAAACGGACATTTAGTGGGGGAACACTATATTTCAAACCCCAAAAATGTGTTTCTACTTTTAAAAAAACAACAGGTTTTCAAATGTTTGTTTAAACCAGGCTGGTTCACTCAACATGTATTCCAGTTTTTGTTATACTTTTCTGTACACTCTCTCTCTCTCTCTCTCTCTCTGCTGAAAGGGTTTTAAAGTTTCTGTGTGGAATAAACCACAAAGTCCCAGTTGAAAGGGCCAGGAGTGAAAGCTGAGTTCCCAAATGAATAAGACTAAAAAAGATAACACCCCCAGGCATCTGTATGTCTCAGCATTTAAATTATATCCCTTGAAATGTCAGTTTGGACTTTGTGCCAAGAAATGGTTGAAGAGCTTTTTTCATGAATATACCCAATGGAAGACGAATCTGTTGAAATGAAAGATGTCTCTAATCATTTGGTATAAACATAACATGTTTTTATTTTATTATGTAACCTTGGTCTTTTAATGAGGATTTTTAATTATTGCTGATGCGTTGTAATTTCATGGAATTATATTGTCTCATTGTTTGTTCTATGGGTGGGAAGTGCTCTGAAACTTAACTTTCTATAACTTTCCATTTATTTCAATGGACTAACTGATTTCAGCAGGTTTCTCTATTAAAAACAGTTTTATTTTAAAGAATGTGTCCTGTTTATACAGGTATTCCACTCAAATAAATAGCAGTGGCTTTGTGGTTATACTACAGTAACGAAAAATCTTTCTGTAGATTTCTATTTCTGTCATTTGACAGTTCCTGTATTTTTTCCTTCTTAAATTACAGGCTGTATTTTTCCTTTGTAGGATTAGTGATTACATGGATCTGACCCCTGTAGATATTGTAGGAAAGAGATGTTACCACTTCATTCATGCTGAAGATGTGGAAGGGATCAGGCATAGTCACTTAGACTGTAAGTACCTCAGTTTTTGTCAAAATAATCTGGCACAACACCTGGTTGCTGTTGAACTATTATTTACATTTCATGATTGTGGATCTTCATATTGGGTCTGCCTTTTTGTTTTAATATAATGGAGGATGGTTCAGAAGTAATTTTTCTTACTGTATATTTTCAAGTCATTTCCTTAAATATACAAGATTCTCAATGTATGTGGGAATGTGGAATTACTTAGATTAGTATCATGGTGGTCTCCAACAGCTATCCAGTTCCATGTACTGCCCATTATTTTACTTCACAGTGGCACTGCTCCAATGAAATTAGACAAAGGTTTCTATCCATAAGAGAAGTGAAGTTCTGGAACAGCCTTTTAATGGAATTAGTGGAGGCAAAAAACCTAACTTGTTTCAACACTGAATTTGATAAGTTTTTGGAGGGGATGGTATGATAAGGTTGCCTATAATGGCATATGGCCTATCCGTGACTTCTGTTAGCAAATATCTCTAATGGCTGAAGATGGGACACCAGATGGGGATGGCTCTGAGTTACTCCACATAATTCCTTCCTGGGTGTCTGGCTGGTGGGTCTCACCCACATGTTCACAGTCCAACTGATTGCCATATTTGGGATCATGAGCGAATTTTCCCCCAGGTCAGATTGACAGAGACCTTGGGGTGGGAGGTGCCTTCCTTTGCTGTGTGTGGCCCGGCTTGAACTAGAGTAAACTGTAACTTGAACTCTTTAAATCAATATCTGAGGACTTTAGTAACTCAGTCAGAGGTTACAGGCCTATTGCAGGAGTGGGTAGGTGAGGTTCTGTGGCCTGTGGTGTGCAGGAGGTCAGACTGGATGATCATGATTGTCCCTCCTTAACGTCTACGAGATGACTAACTCTGTCCCTAATATAGAAAATAAACTCATCACTTGCTTTTTTTATTTCTGACTGATGAAATGGAGATCAAAAACTGAAACATATTTGGTAGCTAAGAAAGTTGCACAGAACAGAACTGAGTCATGAAGCTACTATGGATTTAACCATACAGTGTATTATCCTCTCTACTTTTATGGCTCCCATTCCTGTAATATCCAAATACCTATCTGTACCCAATCAGGATTAGAAGACTAGGAGTTGTACAAATACATAGCAAGAGAAAGTCCCTGCCCCAAACACACACATGTGTGTGCATATCTGTATCCAGATATGGATGCAACTTGACCCCCAAATATTTGAGACCAAATTCTTTCCATTTGAACACCAGCCTTTTAATTATAACCTATTTACAATTTTTAAAAATAGACACAGGGCTAATTCTTTTCTCGCTGAGGTTCATTGTCATCATTGGGGTTGCTCCTGATTTACACTGGTATGAGAGGAGCATTAGGCCACTAATCTGTAATTTAGATATGCTTAGAGTAAAACCAGATGATGGCTGCTCTGGATACTGCTAGAGCACTGTGTGCCCTCGGATTTATTTCCACAAGACACCCCAATTGGCAGTGAAGACACAGAGTATGTGATGAGAAAAAGAAAATAAAGTAGAAATTCTCTACTAAGAGGCAAAACAAATCTCTGGTCTAAGAGCACTACACCCAAGAGAACAAACTAGTTCAATCCAATATGCCAATAGGAGAAACAGTGAGAAAACTGGTTTTCCTACACATAAAACTGAAGTAAAAACTGCTTGCTTTTTGCCTGCAATTGCAAACCTGGGAGCACAGTGGCCATCTTTGTGAAAGGCAAAAGAAGCTAACAGAAAATGTGCAGCAGCCATCTTTGATGTTGACAGCAGCGCAAAGACTCAAGCTTTTGGAAGCTCTTAAAAGGAAACAGCCCATAAAATCTGAAGGAACTAAAATATATATGATTGAAAAAGGGAAAATAGCAATGTGAGATAAAATTCAGAAAGAACATTAAAGACACATCTAGGGAGAAAACCCCAAAAAACAAACAAAAGCAATCTGGCATTTGCATTCCTTAAATTCCCAACATTGAATATCTCTGAGGATAGGGCAGTTGCTCAGAAGTGGACACACAAATTCAGAAATCTGTTGGGTGCACTTGAAATTGGAATTAAAAAATGACAAATTACACTTTTATTGCACTGTCTGGGTAAGGAACTAAAAGATGTTTATGACTCACTGACTTAATTAAACACCTTGCAGAGATGAAGATCCTGTTTGAAAAAGACCATAGTGTTCTGACTGACTGACTACTTCTCTGAAATAAAATATGGAATATGAAACACTAGTTTTCAGGCAAGTGAGACAAGAACCAATAAGATTTGTGTGAGAAGTAGTGTGATCCAGTGGATAGACTGGGAATCAGAAAACCCTGTGTTCCCAACTCTACCACAGACCTGCAGTGTGTAAGTAACTTCAGACAAGTTACTTTACCTCTCTGTGTCTCTGTTTCCTCTTTGACCCTTTGTATATCTTATCTATTAGGATTGCAAGGTCTTCAGCACCAGGGCTGTCTTTTATTTGAGATAGTTATGTTGAAAGTTGACTGTGAAGAGTTACAAAGGAATCTCACTAAACTAGGTGACTGGGCGGCAAAATGGCTGATGAAATTTAGCACTGATGAGTGCAAAGTAATGACCACTGGAGAAAATAATCCCAACTATACCTACAAAATGAAGGGGTCTAAATTAGCTGTTACAGCTCAAGAAAGAGATCTTGGAGTCATTGCAGATAGTTCTCTGAAAACATCTGCTCAATGTGAAGTGACAGTCAAAAAAGCTAACAGAAAGAAACCATTAGGAAATAGATAATAAAAGAAAATGTCAAAATGCCACTATATAAATCCATGATATAACCACACCATGAATACTATGTGTAGTTCTGTTCACCCCATCTCAAAAAAGAGATATTAGAATTGGAAAAGGTGCAGAGAAGAGCAACAAAAATGACAAGGGGCATGGAACAACTTCTTCCATAGGAAGAGAGATTAAAAAGACTGGGACTATTCAGATTAGAAAAGAGATGTGTAACGGTGGAGGGGGGAAATATGATAATGGTCTCTAAAATCATGAATGGCGTGCAGAAAATGAGTAGGGAAGTATTATCTACCCCTTCACATAATGTAAGAACTAGGGGTCATCTGATAAAATTAATAGGCAGCAGGTTTTAAACAAACAAAAGAAATAACGTCTTCACACAACTCACAGTCATCCTGTGGAACTTGTTGCCAGTGGATGGTGTGAAGGCCAAAAGTATAACTGGGTTCAAAAAAGAATTCGATTAGTTCATGAAGGCTAGGTTCATCAGGCTATTAGTCAATATGGGCAGGGACGTAACCCAGCGCTCTGGCTGTCTCTAAATCTCCAACTGCCAGAAGCTGGGACTGGATGACAGAAGATGGATCATTCAAAATTGTCCTATTCTGTTCATTCCTTCTAAAGCATCTGGCACTGACTGCAGTCAGAAGACAGAATAGTGGCAGAAGCATTGGTCTGACCCAGTGTGGCTGTTCTTATGTACAATGTTTCTTGTCAGCATGCAGCACAACGGAGCTCTGATCGTGCTTAGGGGTTTAAGTGCTACTATAGTAAAAGTAGTAATAATAATGAGAGACACTGACCAATCTTATACCAGATTCCCCACCTAGCATTCTGATGTAAATTTGCTGACTTGGATGCAAATGATGCGACATTGTTCAGTAAACAAGCATGGGCCATCAGCGCTTAGCTCTTAATTTGGAAAGACTTTTAGGTGTGGAATGAGTTACTAAAGTGACAGAGTCATAGGCCTTCATCATGGAAAACAATGCACCAAGCAAACCCATAATCCCGGTAGGGCATATCTCAAGAAGTAAGATTGGGTTTCAGTACCCTTGCAGAAGCTGAAATGGCTCATACCTTCACTCAGAAAGATATCAACTTTTTGAGCAGTTGGAAAGGAATGTAGATGTGCCAAGAAAAAAACACTTTGTGGCAAATTGTCTATCTCAGCTGACAGAATCCAAATTCAAGCTAGGAAAGGGAAAAACTATCTGCTATGATGAAAACAGATGTAGTCAAGATACAAGATTTGCCAGGCAGTGGCCATGGAAGAAGATGATAGAGGCTCACATTAAGATGAGCATGATTGAAGCATAGCCTACTAGAACCTCAGTCCCTCAAAATCAGAAGTGAGATAACAATGCAGAAAAGATGATACTCTGAAGAGGAAACTAGAAGCCAAAGTGAAGAAGTTAGCAGACCCTATGATAAAACATCAGAGGGGTAGCCGTGTTAGTCTGAGTCTGTAAAAAGAACCTCACTTCTTCAGCTGCAAGTAATGTAAATCTCCAGAGGCAGGTATAAATCAGTATGGAGATAATGAGGTTAGTTCAGTCAGGGAGGATGAGATACTCTGCTAGCAGTTGAGGTGTGAACACCAAGGGAGGAGACGCACCATAACAACTGTAACTCAGGAACCAACCCATGCAACAAACCTCGATGCCAACTCTGCCCACATCTACACCAGCAACACCATCACAGGACCTAACCAGATCAGCTACAACATCACCGGCTCATTCACCTGCACGTCCACCAATGTTATATATGCCATCATGTGCCAGCAGTGTCCCTCTGCTATGTACATTGGCCAAACTGGACAGTCACTACGCAAGAGGATAAATGGACACAAGTCAGGTATCAGGAATGGCAATATACAAAAACCTGTAGGAGAACACTTCAACCCTATATCTGTTCATATCAATATCTTCATCAATGACTTAGATATTGGCATAGAAAGTACGCTTATTA